TTATCTCGGGAACCTCGAAGTCTAGGAAGCTGAAATTTTAGGGTAATGATCCCCTGCTCAGGCTCAACCTTGCCTATTCAAATTCGGCGTCCCCGCGCTCTCAGGTGTCACCTATGGGCTAGTGAATGTTTCTGTGGGTAAATTATTATCTCAGGGGCCATAAAGTCTACAGAGCTGAAATTTTAAGGTAATGACCCCTGCCCCCGCTCAACCTTGCCCATTCAAATTCAGCGTTCCCGCGCTCTCGAGTATCACCTACGGCCTCGTGAAAATTTTGGCGGGTAAACTATTAACTCGAGAATCATGGAAAGATGTTCACCCTTCAGTGTTTTGAATTCAGCTTTCATGCGCAGGTGCGTGAAACTTCTAACTATTTTTCAATGTTTCAACTATTTTTGCATAGACTAAAATACGGAACAGTGAAAATCATTAATAGGCAATTGTTCGATGGACCGAATTGCACAAAATGCATGATCGCACCGGCTAGTCTGGAGCGCGTTGCTATTTGTTATTTATTCTATCATTCTAACTACCTCTTCAGTTTCACTGTGCTGAAGACAATGACTTAGGAATGCGAGACGTAACTGACGAGTGAGCAGTAGGTCTGACGGAGAGAGTGATGGAATCAGGGATGCTTGGTGTGTGTCTCTTCATGACCATGTAAACAGTTAAGCTTTCCATCTTATGAGGGGTATGCGAAGCGTAAAATAAAGTTTGATGGGAAGGGCATGTTGTTCAGCAATTATTAAAACTCATCTCTGATCGACCGCTCAGTATACATTCATTTTTGGGTTCATGTTCGAGTTGCAAAAGCCGTGGTGACTTTTTTGTCTAGGTAGGGTTCTATGTATTGCATCTAAAATCGCTAACATCCTCTCAACACCTAGTTTTGTATTGAACATGAAAAGCCCAGATGGCACCTTCCTCTAGAAACCCGCTTTGTTCCCATTTCCTATCTCCAGGCGAGGTATCAGCTTCTTTGCTGTCAATGCCTCCTCCCCTCTGTTTTCCGCCCTCACCATTACGGCTGCTAAGGACCTAAACCACCATGCCAGCCCTCATCTGCCCTCCAGCTCTGTGCGTCCCCATCTTCTAGTCATTGTAACTCGCTTCCCGACCTGGCTGAGAAGAATCGAACGGAAAGTTGCCTGTTATCATCCTTTCCGACAACCGATGGATTTCACAAATGGTGCCTGCGAGGAAGTAACCGATCATTCAGGCGAACTTTGAAGTTGAAAACGTAAATTGAACGAGCGGTGGGTGTTAACTGGAGATATGCAGAACAGCATCGAACGACCTAGTTTAACTGCTCTTGACGTGTAAGAACATCTTGGCAGCATCACTGGCACGGTTTATATATACTAACTACCTGGGTAGTCTTGGTTTTCTGTTTATTTTACATCGATTGGAGTTCACACAATTATCATGGTAGTCTCGATATTTGTATTTTATTTCGATATTCCATAAAAGTCTGTAATTTTTTGCGATCATATTTCTTCATATAGCTGACAGACTTGTTGCACAAATTTAGGTAGCTAAATGTAGAATTTTTTGGTTGATGTAAAAAATTTTTTGAAATTATCTACAACGAATTCACTGACTTTTTTAGGCGATGAGCGGTGGTGGGACTGATTTGTAATCCGTGTTTTTGGGATAAGCATTTTGTATGGTTTCTTTTTGCAGGGGTGGTAAAACATCAGCGATGTTGGCAATGGTGAATGCTGCAGCGGCAAGTCGAGATGGGGATCAAGAAAGCTCGGAAACGGATGACACTCGGCATCGTATCGAAGAAAATGATTACATCAGGACAGTGGTTGTGACGTGCGCAGAAGATTTGTATTTCTTGCGTATGCCGGTGTGTTTGATATGTGGCAGCATCGGACAAGGAGTTGAAGGGACGATGGTTACGTGCGTAACGTGTGCACAGAGTTATCACACGTATTGTGTTGGACAGCATGACAAGGTTTTTTATAATTTATTTTTGTATTTGAGTGATTAAAATCGCTCAGTTCCAAGGGAATTACTTTTTATACCACTTATTTGTCTTGTTTTTGTCTTTCGTTTTCGAGAAAGATTTTGTTCGTGGGCAGCACTGCGTTGCATTTTTATGCAGTAGCAGCAGCAGTACATATTGTCGGGACTTCTTTTGCTTGTATTTATTTGGCGTTTTGCCAGGATTTTCCATCTCAGCAGCTGGGGGCCAAAAGGCTGAAAT